GGGCCTCGGCTGGGCCCACGCCCCTACCGGCGTCCCGACGGGCTGGGGCCTCGGCTGGGCCCACGCCCCTACCGGCGTCCCGACGGGCACGGCCTCTGCTGGCCCCACCCCCGGCCGGTGTCTGGAAGGGCAGGGCCCTGGTCCACAGGTTGTTGGCATCAGGCCAGCCGGCGCACTGTCCGTCCAGGCCACCTCGCATGCCCCCCGTGTACACTGAGCAATGACCTCGGAGCTCTGGAAAGGCCTGCGTTTCTAAGATTCCTGATTCAGTGCTGCAAGATGCCAGGGCCAAGGATAGAAAACAGTCACAAGGTTAAATAGGTAGGAGTCTTATGACACTGGAGCTAGGAAGATGTCAGCTCCATGTTACTTGGAGTTAATGTGACATAAATTAAAGGCAATGAGGGAACACCTGGGAGCAGGAGCCAGCTGATGAACAGACTGATGAGTTTGCTGGGATCTGCTTAAAGCTGCCTGAAGCAGGGGTTCTGAGAGTGTGTTCTGGTAACAGCCTGGGTCTCCCTGGAGAGCACCGTGGAGTCTGCAGAGGCTATAGACAGGTGCCCAGAACAGGGTGAAGACAGTTAGCTGCTGTGAGCCAGGCTGAGACTTCCAAAATGTCAACCAGTGCCATAGTTCCCATCCTTTTTGTCAAAGAAAAAACAGCTGCTTTTTATTAATTATGTTGACAAGTAGTATTTTTATTGTTTTTTTAAAGTTAACTAATGCATATTTTTAATGTCTTCATTTTCATTTCTAATACGGTAAATATTAATAGATTAAACTCCCTGAAGCAAAAGCTCTTTGGGGTCCTCAGTAATTCCTCAGCCTGTAAAGGGGCCCTGAGATCAGACAGAGTCGGCCCCCACAATAACTGGAAGATGACACTGTAATGTACCCCTGTGAGAAACCACAAAGACAAAAACTGAGAAAATCCAACTTGGCTTCGCAAGAAAGAGGCTGGCAGGCCAGTTGTTACTCATCCAAATGAGTGGACAGTTAAAAAGCTGCCACAAGGGTCACAGGGAAATCAAGTCAGCTAGGACCCAAAGGCAGCACATCCCTTCCAGGCAGGGACCCCAGAGCAGACCCCAAACTCTGCTTCTCCTTTGCTCAGGCCTTGTGTTCTCAGATGGCTCAAAAAAAAAGAAAGTAAATTTCTTTGCACACACGTCCCATGAAGTTTTCAATAGCTTCCTCAAGCAATCTACAGTGAGGAGATATGCTGTCGGTGGACAGGACAGTGGGGCCACTTTGGACACCCTCTCCCCAGCTGACGGGCTTGATGGACTCTAAAGTTGGTGTCTAACTGGATTTGAAGGAGTCCCTGGGCCATGCAAACGGTTAAGTGCTTGGCTGCTAACCTAAAGGATGGAGGCTGGAGTCTACCCAGAGAAGCCTAGGAAGAGAGTCCTGGCAATCTACTGCTGAAGAATCAGCCATGGAAAACCCTTTGGAGTGCAGTTCTACTCTGACACACCTGGGGTCACCATGAGACAGAGTCGACTTCAGGGCAACTGGTTTGATAAGGCAGCTGCAGAATGGCTGGCACAAGCTGCCCAGACCTGCCCCCCACGGCCGCCTGTGCGTTCACACTGAGGCTCTGGCTCACCCAGAGCTCCCTGGCTCTGGGCTGGAGGGGCCGACCCAGCTGGTCACAGGCCACACGCTGCCTCCCACGCTCTCGACAAGCAGCAGCTATTGTGATCTGTATCATTCATCACTGATTTATACTGATTAAAAATAGTGGATAATGTCTGCAAAATGCCTTCATCACCGAGACATGTGTCTCCAGTTACCGGGGTCCAGATTAACGAATCAGATCGTCTGAAGGGAGCTCTCTGTTCATCTTCTTGGGCAGCAAACCAACAACCCTCAAAGCAAAGAACGCAAACCAGCAGGCCTGTGGAGAGCCCTGGCCTCCGATGAAAGGCAGGGGCACAGCGGGCACGGCACCTGGGCTGCAAAAAAAGCGGGCAGAAGCCATGGAGACATTTTTCCAAAGACGAAGCACAGGTGGCAAACAAGCACCTGAAAAGGTGCTCAGCGTCACTAGTTGCAGAGAGATGCAAACTACAACACACCTGTTCGGACGGCTAACAACAAAGACCAAGGGGAAGACCCGACACCACCGAGCCGAGTCGGAGTGCTGCGGGGACTCGAACAGGCAGCCATCGGGGAAAAGCGTTCGGCAGTTAGTCGATTTAAACATAAACACCTGCTCTACAGTTCAGCCACTCCACTCCTAGGTATTTACCCAAGAGAAATGAACACACGTTCCCACAAAACTCTGCAGTGTCTATAGGGCCTTTTCCATCATTGCCCCAGGGTGGGAACAACCTCACCGTCCACCGACCAGCCTGCGGGTAAATGACTGGGGAATCGTCTCAGCAACCAAAGCCCACTGCAGCCCTCCCCAGAGGAGGCATCCGAAGTGCACCATGCCAGCAAGAGAAGAGGAAATACAGGGACAGAGACAGATTGGGGGTGCTGGGGGGCATGAGGGGACTTTTGGAGGTGACAACAGTGTTCTGGATCCCGACTGCGGGGGTGATTACAAGACAGCGTGAATTTGTCAAAATTCATAGACTGCACACCTAACAGTGAATTTCGCTCTATGCCAGGGTTTGCCACTTACAGGCCCTCCTTCTCCTCCGCGAGTTGGCCTGGGTGATCCTGGGGGCTGGCAGGGCCAAGTGCTTCACGGTCGTCCTCAGCAGTCCATGCCCCAGGGCATTCCCTGGGGACTAACACCCCAGGACCAAGGGCCACGGGGCCTCTGCTCAGCCCACTCTCAGAGCACAGCTGGTGCTGTATGTGGGGACACGTGGTGGGGATCACTTGGGGCAGAAGTTGGGCAGCGGGAGCCTGGGGGTCAGCAAACACGCACCCTGGGGGCTGGGCTGCTTCCAGCAACCCTGGAGCGGGGATGGACACACGCTCAGTGCCTGGAGAACTGGCCCTTTCACCCATGCAGCATGCTGCCCAGCACATTTGGAAACCACCCGTTTGCCAGGCCCATCCCAAAGGACAGACAGGCAAACACCCAGCCCCCGTGCGCGAGGATGCGTCCGCAGCCGATCCACAGCCTGTCCCCGAAGGCGAGAGCAGCGGAGACAGTGAAAAATTGTCCGATGCAAAACAAATGTCAAATGCAACCACTGTCACAGAGCCTTTATTCTGAGCTGCAGTTGAACATTTATCTTCACAGGCCTGACACAGTCGTCCCCAAATCTAAGCACGGTTCTTCTGTTACTATAAAGGGGCACCGACAGTGACTGAGCATTATAAAAATAAATGCATTTCTCAAACGCGTTTTCTTGACCATTTTCACGCCACACGGAATCGAGCATAGCGCTGGTGAAAGAACCGCCAGCTCAGCGCAGCAATGGAGGGAGGAAGGCAGGACACTGGGTGAGGCGCGGCCAGTGGCACAGACAGTGACGGACAGAGGGACGTGTCTGTGTGTCACCCCCCTGTGCAGCGACCGAGTCCCACTGCACTAAACACGCAACCCAGGACAGCTCGGGGCTGAGAGGCAAAGCCGCGGTTTACCAGGAGACCACTGCGTAAGTGCTCACGGAGCACAGGGAGCTGGTGGGGACAAAGGACAAGGGCTGCGGGAATGCCAGTTGGGTGCTGTGTGGCTACAACTGCTTCGTCAGACTATGCAGGGGTCCCTGTCTCTGGGCCCACCTGGGACGGCAATGTTCTCTGGAAGACGTGTGCAAGTCCAAACGTTAGACATCAGGAAACTGGGACTCGTGAACACCTCCCATTGCTCCAGCTCTTCCTGGTTCCACTGCTCCATGAGGGACACGGCTCTCCCTCCCCCTCAGAATCACCAGGCTGAGGGCTAGCGGTGCGTTGGAAGTTCTGAAGGTTATGGGAATTTTCACTATGTTCTTCATTGTTCCTCACGGGAACAGAGGGACTTGTAAGAACCCTAAGTCACCATCTCGGGGAGAAATTTTACCCAAAGAGCAGTGTCCTTGAGAGGAAGCGTGGCAAGGCTGGTGGGAGGCCGGCCTGCTCTGGACCACCCAGCCGTCACTCCTGTCCTGACTTCCCAACCTTGCATTCTGATGCGGGCCCGACAGCCCCTGGCACATCCCTCACACTCACGGCTGACAGCCCCGAGCTCACTTGGACAAGTGGCCAGTGGCTGCAGCTCTCCGAGGGGCCGGTCCACTGGGCCCTCCAGCCCCCGGCCGCCACGGCCCAATGCCGGCTTCTGGCCCAGATCACGTTTCCGGCAGAGCTGGAACTCTGAGCTCAGCGAGCGGAAGACCTGTGAGCACCAAGGACAGGGTCTGAAAGGGTTGATGGTGGCAGACAAAGTCCCCCACACTGCTCCTTGGGGGGCCGGCTGCAACTAAGCAGCCTGGGGCTCTGCCAGCACCCCGTCTTGGTCTTCCATTCCTCTGGAAGGCTGGCCACATCACAACCCACCGCTCCATTAGGGCCTCGTGTCCACATGGAGCAGAGGCCACTCTGGCACTTTCTTCAGCAAAGGCTCATGGCTCCATTTGTCCTCCAGGGAGGAGCATGTCTGGGGGTGCTCGTTCCTAGCAGCATGCCGGGATGCCCTGTGGTGGGGGTACCCAGGGCCGCTTCTTGCTGCCTGCTCGTGGCTGGGAGTGGCAGAGGACAGGGAACTCGGACCCCGTGCCACGGAGGCAGTGCTCCACCCGCTCTCCAAGGAGCAGCAGCCCCAGCTTCTGGCGTGAGACGGCGCCAGCCACAGCTCAGGTGGGACCAGAGGCCAGAGGAGGGCGCCTGCCTTCCTGTCCATCCAGTCAGCGCTGGCAGGCACCGTGACATTGTCTTTTACAGAAAACACGCTCCTGGGGGCTTTGTCTGTTTGCTCACCCTTGAATCTCCAGCACACTGAATCCACGAGCAGGATTCCAACTTCCATTAGGAACAAAATCAGAATACTCAGCGCTGTCGGGAAAAACTTGCTATGCTTTTTACTCCAGGACATTCTGAGTTCAAAGGTGACTCAGCACGGCCGAGGGCCTTCTGGGTCCAGGCCACTAAGGAAGTCATTTCCACACAGGTCAGATGACACCATTAGCAGGGCCATCTTTTAAAAAGCCTTGTACACCAGGAAACTCTATCAAACATTTGACATTCAATAGCTGTCAAGGTGACGAAGCTTAGGTATCAGCTTTTTTATGTGTTTGCAGAGCCAGCAGTAAAAAACAAAACTGTCGGCAAAAGTTAAACAACTCATGGCAACGGCGGCTTGCTTCTTGTCTTAGCCTTCCTACCTTGCTACCTGGGAATTCAAGCACGGAGAACAGGCCCTTGCCACGGGCATGCACACCCACAGGGACCAGCCACTGACTGGCTCCAGGACAGCGACGGCCTGGCCGCAAGAAAGGGTGTGGAAATGCCACCCCTACTGGCAAGTCTGGTAGAAGCAAGAAATGGAATGACCGACGTGAAGTCGTTAAACTGCCCTAAATTCAGCTGTTTGATACGTTGTTTTGGGTTCTGCCCGGGACGCTGCCCACTGGCTCCTTCCCTGGGCAGTGACCCCTCACAGCACACCTGTCCAGGTGTGCTGAAGTGTTGCCACATGGGGCTCGGCCGCACGGCTGGCGGGGACCGCGGGCTCCGGCGACAACGCCCAAACGTGGCACAGCACCACCGCTTGGCTGCCAGTGCCGTAAAATCAAAGCTTTCAAAACATGGGTTCCCTTTAAAAAGTGTTTAATTACAAATGCCACTGTCAAACCCCACACACAGTGATGACACCTTCTCATTCGGAAACACCTGACTTAGGAGCCCATGCACCACACCAGTGTGCGCGTGTGTGTGCATGCGTGTGTGCTGTGTGCGTGTGTGCGCGCATGTGCATGCAAGCACGACAGATTGTCCTGGATGCAAAGAGCTCTACCCCGACGTGGTGCTGACTTCTACAGAAAGGACACGAGTCTCTCGATAAAGACAGAGACAGCGGTGGACGCGCCTGCTTTTTCATTAAATAACTTGGCCATCCTCAGTAGACTCTGCCCTGTGCCTCCCGTTGTCCACCAGATGCGTCTTACTCCCCAGACATGCATGCTGCGGGCCACAGAAACATGAGTGCTCCGGTGACACACGAGGTGTTGGAGAAATGACTCCTCCTGAGACACCGCCTGGGGGCAGATGCGGCGGGAGGCTGGGCCCGTGCTGAGCGGCTGGGTGCAGTCTTGTATTTTCTTCCCGATGCTCAGGTTCCGGGCCACGGTGGGCTGTGACGGTGACGCTTCACTGGGGACAGGGAACAGCCGCCGACTGATGGAGATCTTGCTTTTCAGCAGAATACTAGTCAAGTCAGTCGAGTCGTTTTAACTTAAATATTTTAAAAGTACTCTTTACATTATTGAAGACTGATAAAAAATACAGAATCTGACAACTTCCCGCTTCGTTCACTCGGGTGCTTGCTTAATCTTCACTCGGAATTACATAATTTTAAAGAAGCCGCCGGCTCCTTGCAGGCTGGCCTTCGAGATCCACCTTTCCCTGGGCGGTCGAGCGTAAGCATTCAGGGACCCTCTGCCACTGCATTCTAGGGGGGGATGTGGTCCCCTTCCTCTCTTTCCTTTAGTGATGAATTCCGTAATTAAGAGGTGCTATGAGCTAAAAAAGCCACAGCCAATCTGTCACCTACAAGGGGATGGGAAGGACTTTCCTGTTCCAACCGTACCAAACGTGATGCCCTCAAGTGACGCTTCGTGAAGAGACCGCAACAGAAGGGAAAGTTCTGGCAATCACAAGTTAGTCAGAATGGAATCCTTGATCAGGGATGACGCGACCTCTGTGAACCCGGGCGTTAAAATAGCTGGTTTCGACCGTGACCGAAGCGCCAGGGTGTCCAGCGCGAGGGGTGTCCAGCCTCAGGCCCCGGGGCCCTCGATCCCTCAGTAGATGTCTGGGCAGTCCGAGAAGTTGCGCTCAAAGTAGCCCCCTGCGTACAGCCAGTCGGGAGTCCCTGTGTACGGGTTGTTGCCTTGGTAAAACCACCTGCAGGACACAAAGCGGGGCTGGTGAGACAGGTGGCTGAGGGCCAAGCACCCACTGGCCGCACCTCCGCCCCGTCACGCGTCCTCTGATGAAGCGCTAGCATATCTATCCGCTTCTGGTCACGCCTCCACTGAGAGGGACTGAGCACCTTCCACCCGGGTGCTCTGACCCACACACACCCGCCACCGCCTCAAACCCAGCCCTCATCACAGAACGGTCCCCGGATCCTGGATAATGCCACAGCTGGCGTAGGAAGGCACAGCCACCACGGGCAGCGTCTTCTTTCACTTAAAGCCGACTATGCTTTGTTTGCTGTCGTTTTAAACTGAGGAATAGGAGAGCGACTGAGGGCAGAGAGAAGATAATGGCGCCCCCTCCCAACAGCCACACATCCAGGTAATTGAACAGGAAGCCTGATCCCCCCGCCCCACCCCCTCTGTGCAGAAGCCCCTGATTTCTGATACGAGAACGACTCAGGACGGTTTGCAGTTTACCATGGAGTGTACACTGGGAAGGCTCTCAAAGTAGGAGTAGTTATTTCTAAGGACAAAATATTATATTCATAATACATTTTTTTGAATTTAACATTCAAAGCGAATGAAGAAAGCTTAACTATTTTCAAGCTGTTTTTCTTTGAACCAAGGAAGGTAAATTCCAATTATCAAACCCTTAAGAGCATAATACACCCACTCCTCACTTACTGACTATCTTGTTAGCCGACATTTCCCATTTATGACAATAGCAAAAAAAAATCTACTACCCAGCTATTTGGTGCACGAATGACGTACGCCCAACAGTAATGAACGCCGAGGTGTGAGGTGAGAGTAACACTGGCTGTGATGGTTAGGTTGTGTGGCAACTTGGCTGGGCCATGATTCTCTGTGGTCTGGCAATTATGTAATGATGTAATTTGGCAGTTACATAATGATGTAAGAGCCCCGGTGGCGCAGTGGTTAAGAGCTCGGCTGCTAATCAAAAGGTTGGCAGTTCGAACCCACCAACCACTCCTTGGAAACCCTATGGGGCAGTTCTACTCTGTCCTATCAGGTTGCTATGAGTCAGAATCAACTTGACAGCAATGGGTTTTTATGGGTAATGATGTAACTTGGCAGTTAGGTAATGATGCAGTCATCTTCCATTTTTGCATAATGTCAATGTTTGCATAACGACCTGGTCTTTGGAACCTAACCATGTCAATAAGTGAGGATGGGGGTACTAATTACATTAGAAACCCAAGATATCAGAGGTGAACGCTCTTGGGTCTTGAAAATTAAAGCTAGAAAGCATCTAGCCTGACAGGAGAAAGTACCAATTACAACTGCTCAGTCACACCCACAGAGCTGTAGGAGACTGAAATCTCTGACACACACATGTGTGTGTGTACATATACATCTTTTTTTAAAATCATGCTTAAGTACTACAGTACTTTATTGATCGAATCCCTGTTAAATGGATGTTCACATTATGATTATCAAAGAGCAACCACCGAATCCCAACTATTTAGGAGGTGTGAGTAAGAAACAGACTAAGCTCTTAGCCGCTGTGACGTGCACTCTCTCTACTGTACCTAGTCCAGTCTGAGTAATGGCATGTCCAGCCACACGTGTGTGTCCGTGCCCGTGTGCAGAAACGCCACAGCTTAGTGTGACAGCACTTAATCTCCACAGTGAAGCCTTTCCTGGTTACTGTGCGTGACAACTATCAGCAAGAGCGGTGAGGAAAATGGGGGCTGAACGGAGGGACCTGGGATTCAGCCTTGGTCTTCCTGTACCATGTGACGTGCTGTGGTGTGGTGTGGTGTGGCGTGACATGCTGTAGTGTGGCGTGACATGGTGTAGTGCGGTGTGGCATGACATGGTGTAATGTGGTATGGTGTGGCGTGACGTGGTGTGGCGTGACATGGTGTCATGTGGTATGGTGTGGCGTGATGTGGTGTGGCGTGGTATGGCATGACATGGTGTGGTGTTACATGGTGTGATGTGGTGTGATGTGTGGCATGACATGTTGTGGTGTGTGGCGTGGTATGACATGGTGTAGTGTGGTGTGGCGTGACATGGTGTGGTGTGACATGGTGTGGTATGGCGTGACATGCTGTGGTGTGGCGTGACATGGTGTGGTGTGACATGGTGTGGTGTGGCGTGACATGCTGTGGTGTGGTGTGACATGGTGTGGTGTGGCGTGACATGCTGTGGTGTGGCGTGACATGGTGTGGCGTGACATGGTGTGGTGTGGCGTGACATGCTGTGGTGTGACATGCTGTGGTGTGGCGTGACATGGTGTGATGTGGCGTGACATGCTGTGGTGTGGCGTGACATGGCATGATATGGTGTGGCACAAGTGGCGTGGCGTGACATGGCGTGAGTGGCGTGGCCCTCAGGCCACTGTCTCCTGTGTGTGCTGTACAGAAGAGAGCTGCACTACAAGACATCATGGGCACCAACATTCCAAACAGGACGTGGCTTCTCAGGGAGTTTCATTAGCACACACGTTCTTGGCCCAGCATTTCATCTTGTAAGCTCCATCTTTCTCAAGTCAAGGGCTCGGTTTGGGCTACATTGCCTTTTCAAACGAGCCCTACTTGAGAGGAGGTGCTTGGAGCAAATTCACTGAGTTGGGGTGACCTGGCCCCGCGGCCCCAGCTCCGCCCAGCTGCTGCTCTCAGGCTCAGCGGTAACCTCTGAAACTTGGCTTCCTCGTCTATACAGGGACCAACACAGGGCGTGTGGTGGGCTACCAGTGCCATGGTCACTGTGAAACCATGAGCCGCTTTTCTCAACACGGGGGACAGGGGCCACTGGGCACCTCACCTTGTCCTCCACGAAGTCTCCTCTCTGGCCCGCCCCCTCCGGGCTTCCCTCTGTTTCTCTTCCAGGCGCTCCTTCTCCCGGCTTGCCAGATCTAGGGCCCAAGCAGACAGGCCTCGGGGTAAGGAGCCGGGTTAACAGTGAAGCCTTGTTTTTCAGTCAAACGAGACAATGGTGAAAGAAGGCAGGAATCAGAACACCCTCACACATCCGCAGATCTGAGATTAAAATCACACTTCGCTGAGAAGACTGGAGGGCACATTTGTAATCAAGAAACCAAACTCAAGGGTGAGTGTGGAGGCAAGTGTGTGACTGACCGCAATGGTGAGTGCTGGGGCAAGTGTGTCACTGACCACAGCCCACCGGGCCCTGGGGAGAGCAGTGGTGCCCCACAGTGCGGCCGAAGGCTCCGGGGAGGGAGACATCTGTGTTACAGAACAGTGTGGCCCAAAGTATGCTCTGCAGGTCCTACGGCTTGCAAGCAAGAGCTCAGAACCTGGGCAGCAACTGAGCACAGCCATGGCGCCCAGGCGTGCGGCCAGGACAGCTCGCCAACAGTGACCCCAGAGCGT